ACTTTTAAGCTAAAAAGTATTTTTATATTCCATGTCAGGTCATATTCCTGACCAATAATATGATGTAAGTCGAAAGAAAAAGCCTCAAATTTAAAACAGTCTGTAGACAAATATGTATTCCATTCTTTGTTGATGTTGCTTAAATACATTCTGTCAAGTTTGATAATTCCTATTTATTGGCAGAGCACTAAGCGTCAATCCCATTTGCATACCTGCAACTGTTGTAAATAAATAAAAGTTTGAATAAATGACATATCACACATTGAGAAGAGTGCAAAGATACACAAACACCTATCTAAGATAATTCATTACAGCGACACTGTCGCGAAATTTTTTGTTACCCATGTTCCCTAACTGTGGTTAAACTTTTAAAAAAGTGTGGACTCACTAGTTGCAAAACGGGTAAGTAACAGAGTGAATGGAACATTTGGAGATTCAAACCGCTCCATGATCTCAAAACTGTAGCAAATGCCTGAAATGGTAACATTTTTAAATAATGAAAAAAACACAGCAAAACACAAAAAGGAAAAACACACCAGTTAGGTGAAGAGCACATGATACTGAACACTAATTGTTGTACTTATTGAAAAGTCTGATTCATCAAAAGTCAAGTGACCTTTAAAACAATGCATCTCTACTTCAACCTAATTCAATACCCACAACAGTAACAGCACACCATAACTCACAAGTGCATGAACACTTTTTTCTTGTGGGTGGGGTTATCAGGGCATTATGGGTCATCCCAATGATGAAAAATCCTGAATGTTTTCCAAATTTATCCAACAGTACACTTAAGAAAAATGTCCAATTCACTGACGCAATGTTTTTCTCTGATATTAAATATGATAAAGGAAACATGCAAGAGCAATTAAAAAATGTTTACTAAAAATTGTTTCAAGAACAGAAAGTAATGGTGGCACTGTCTCCAAGGTCATTAATGACAACATCAGGTCTACATACTATGATCCCATTTGACACATCTTGCATTTGTTTAGATACAGCTGCAGGCACTGAATAGGAAACTTGCTGGCAGCCTAGCACTTCAGTCCTTTAGCAGAATACATGAAGCATCAGTTAAAAATTAAAAGTCTATACAATCACCAGCAATGGATCATTTTTTATGAAGTAAGGATACCAGGAGATTAGGTAAGAACACGTACCATGCTCACAAAACGCTGCAAATATGCCTGGACTCATCTGCCATATGTTTTTGTTTGTTTTCGACAATCCCCGATGGAACAACTTTTACGGTCTATGTCCACTGAGTAGACTCCTCTGTGTTTCTTCTGTGGCAGGTTAGGCCAAAAAGCAACGCCACAAAATTCATTGCTAGCTTCATCAGTGGTGACACTATTTGCTTCGATACTCGTTGGTATGGTTGCTGGTGCTGAAACAATGGAGCTTTGGAAAGGCATCCAAGTTCCTCCAACACAGGAATAAGCACATCCGGAAGGTCATCTTGGACTTTATAAAAGTCTGCAAGCAAAGGGCACTGGAGACAAAATAGTCATAACTATGCATTACAAGAGAGAGACAATACATGGTTCACACGTAGTCACTTCCTATTTGACCTTATGATAATAACAGTACTATGCTGTTGAAGGAGGCTAAGCTGTAAATAAACTTGCAGGCTTCCACAAGAAAGCAGAACAATTCTCTTTTTTTTATTTTAGTCAACTGATCAAACTTTGCAGGCAGAAATAAAGAGCAAGTCCAGAATTTCTGTTTACTTTTATTTAACAGGTTAGAGTTATGTTTCATGCAAAAGTTAGGTACATGTATTGATGCCTGTAGTCTCTGCCCTTCGAACATTAACCCATGTTGCAGAACAGTGATAACCACAGTATTTCAACAATACTAGGGATGGTAACAAAGGAAATCAATGCACCATTATAGATCTCAAACATGTGTGAGAAACTAACTATAAACTATTTCAACAGGGTATTCACATACCATGTCCTCGGCTGAGGCAGCAGTGTAACTGTGATCTAAGAATTGAAAAAAAAGTGTTCATCGACACAGTTTGCAACTATCCACGTT